GCTCGGGGCACGGGCACGGCCGCCGGTGCGCCTGTGCCCTGGACTTTTCGACAGATGGGCCGGGACCAGCGGCTTCCTGGGCGCAGTCGGGGCTGCGTTTCTGCTGAGCCTGGTGTCTGCGTGCTGAAACCAGAGCCTGGGCTGCGGGGCGGAGGAAACCTGCCCCTGCCCAGGCGGGTCCCTGGGCCATCTCTCCCCCACCTGGAGGTTGGAGCCGGCGGCCTCTCGGCAAGGGGCCTGGGTGGAGCCCACTGCAGGCTGTGGGCCGTGCGTCTGGAGTGGGCCTCGGGTGCCCATAGGGGCGGGGGTGCCTCGGTGCAGAGGCTCCTGTCCCCGCTCACTCCGCCCCCACCTCCACCCTCCCGCCCGCTAGCCACGTTCCTCCCTTTCCCTGGCCCGGTGTGGCCGGAAGACAGCTTGTCTCCCGGGGCCGTGTCTGCAGCTGCAGCGGGTGTCAGGGCTGGGTCACGCCGCGCGGCAGGGAGGCAGGAGGCGGGGGCCGTGTCCGGACGCTGGCCCGCCTCTGACGCCTCGACGGTGGAAGCCCGCGGGTGACACTGACCGCTCGTCCCAGGAGCCCAGACCCTCCCGTTCACCCAGAGGCCAGACCCCACCTCTGGCCTGTGGCTGTGTCTCCCCCACGGCCCGGCCCCTCACACCGCCCTCACTCACAGGCCTCCTGGAGCACGGCCGGAATTGGTCGGCCATCGCCCGCATGGTGGGCTCCAAGACCGTGTCACAGTGTAAGAACTTCTACTTCAACTACAAGAAGAGGCAGAACCTGGACGAGCTCCTGCAGCAGCACAAGCTGAAGATGGTGAGTCCGCGGGCTCTGGGGGACGGGGAGGCCGCGACGCCCTCTGGCTGGGGCTCGGTCCTCGGCAGCTGCGCCCAGGGCGCCCAGGATAGCCGCGGGCCGCGGCCCCACTGTGCGTGCCGGGGTGTGGGATGGACAGAGCTCCCGGCTCACACAGGCACGTCTGGCTGTGGTCCTACCGTGTGTCCCCCGAGTGTGGGATGGACGGGGTTCCTGGCTCCACACAGGCACCTCTGGCCAGGGTCCCACTGTGTGTCCCTGGGTGTGGGACGGATGGGGCTCCCGGCCACACAGGCACCCCTGGCCGTGGCCCCACTGTGCGCCCCTCGGGTGTGGGACGGATGGGGCTCTGCTCGCAGCACCTCCGGGCGGGAGTGGGGAAGGCGGCGGGGAGGAGCGACGGCACTGACTCAGCCAGGAATGTGGCCGTCAGCGCCTTGGAATGAAGGAATGAAGACCCGGGGGCTCCCCACCCCGCGTGACCTCACGCCCTCGTGGGAGAGGAGGACAGGACAGGTCTGGGGAGCCGCCCGCCCGGCCTCCTGGAGGCCGAGGCCTCTCCTCCCTAGCACAGAAGGCGCAGGCTCGCCTCGCCGAGCGCGTAAGTGGTCTCCCAGGAGCCGCACTTCCTCCGCAGCTGTTTCTGGGAGTCCAGGAGCACTTGGGGAGGCCTCTCGGCCTCCCTCCCCCTCCTCCTCCCTCCCTTTCTCTTGCCCCGTCTCCGCCTTCTTTTTCCTTCCCCTCCCTCCCCCTTCCTCTGTTTCTTGGACACACTTGCTGAATGCGGCCCCCTTTTTAGGCACACAGTGGGGCTGCGGCCAGAGGTGCCGGGCGAGCCGGAACACTTCAAAGCTGGGAAAACGCAGGCTTGGCCGGCTGGTCGGCGACCAGAGTGGGGCTGGAGCCGCCCGCTGCGTGACTCAGGCCAGGCCCTGGTCGCCAACCCCTTCTCCCAGATCTGGGGGCATGTGAGGGGGCTGCACAGTCCCGCCACCGTGTTCCTGCCTCACCGTCACCTCCAGATGCTGCTGCCCACCCTCTTGCCCCCGTGCTCCTGCCCTCCCCTCCCACCTGCTGTGGGGCTGCCTGGTTCTGAGCAGGCCGTGCTGAATTGCTCCCCTGTGCAGCCCACCCAGAGAGGGTGAGCTGGCTGCTGGGGCCACACAGCACGCAGCAGAGACCAGGGAGTATCACCCCATGGGAGCTTTCCCTGAGCTCCAGGCAGAACTTACAGGCACCTCTCTGCCCTTCTGAATGGCTCCCGGTGTGCGGAGGGCCACTGTCCATGCCCGTAGCAGGCCTGCAGGGCACCCTCAGGCCTGCACCCTCCCCACTGCTCCCAGCTAAATGGGGCGGGGGAGAGGGGCGTGTGATCCGCCTTCGAGGGCCTGGGACTTCAGGCAGAGCCGCTTCCTAGGGGTCCGGCGCCACAAGGCGGGGCGCCCCTGTGAGGCCCTGCCCAGCAGGCCCCGGGCACGTAGAGACAGGGTCTCGCCCCCGTGTCGAGAGGGGTCGGCGCAGGACGGCTGGGCAGCTCCGGCCTCTCCCCAGGCAGAAAGGCCTTCCTGCCCCGGACGTCTCGCTCCACCTTCCCCTCCATCCGGCGCCCCCGTCCTCCCGGCGCTGTCCTCCCCCTCGTCCCCCTCCCGTCCCCCTCCTCCAGCCGCCCTGCTCTCTGATTCTGGCTCCGTCTCCCTCCCACATCCCCCATCCCCTGCCCGCCCGCATCCTCCTCCTCCCTGTCATCCTGCCCCCTGTCTGTCCTGTCCCTTTCCCTCTGTCCCCTCTTGGTCCCCCCCCCGTCTCTCCTCTAAGTGTTCATAGGGATACTCTTGGGGCCAGGCATCTCCTCTCTGCAGCCCGCTGGCTGCCACCTGGTTTCCAGGTTTCCCGAGACATGTCCCTGTTGTGCCCGCAGGGGACTCAGAGCCTGAGGACAGAGCCACGCCCTCGGGCGGCACGAGCAGGCTGGGCCCTGCGGGTCTGCTGCCCCGCTGACCTGGGGGGGCTGCGGCCTGCCGAGCCTCGGTTTCCCCCGTGAGGCTGGGCCGACCGTCCTTGTCCAGGAGGCATGGGTGGGTGTGATGGAGCGAGGCCCATGAGCAGCCCGAGGTGCTTGCTCCACAGGGGAGGTGGCCGCCCGCTCTCTCTTGCGGTGCCCGAGGCCCCTTAGGGCGCGATGGGCCGGGAGTGGGCACTGTGGCCCAGGAGGCCCGGGCTCGAGTGTCAGCTCCGCACCTTGCTAGCTGTGTGGCTGGGGCGAGCGACTTGCCTGCTCTGTGTCTCAGTTTCCCCAACTGTGAGAAGAGGTGCTACTAGAGCCCGCTTCACAGGCCTGCCGTGGGCTTGCTCTGAATGGCCAAAGCGCTCGACACTGGGCCGGCACGTCCCGGCTGCTCTGCTGATGGGAGCCACGGGGATGCGGGTTGGGTGCTCCTGACAGGCTGACTGACTCACTCATTGGTTCATGCATTCCCAGAGGCAGCCTGGAAGGACGGCTCAGAGCAGGGCTCTCAGGCTGTCAGGTTCCTACCCCAGCTCTGCTGCATCATGGCCAGCGCCGCAGGGCCTTTCGCCTCTCTGTGCCTCAGTTTCCTTCTCTGTGAAATGGGAACAAGAGTAGGCCCGCTCAGAAGCTGGCGTGAGGAGCAAGTAAAGTTTTCTGTGGGGGCAGCGCCTGGCGCTCCCTCAGACCCCAGGGAGTGTCAGATGCGGCTCGCGTTTCTTCGGCAGCTCTGCCCTGAGCGCCTGCTGTATCCCAGGAGCAGAGGCGATGCCCCGAGGGCAGAGGTGTGAGGAGGCTTCCTGCAGGCTGAGAGTCTGGGCCTCTCGCCAGGGGCCGTGGGGAGCCAGTTGGGACGGGACTCGGGCGGGCTGTCCTGGTGCCAGTGGACATGGCTGTGGTCTGAGTGGACAGCCGTCGCTGCCGAGGAAGGCGGCCCCTGCCCTGACCTGAAGACTCCCGCTGCGGGCTGCACCGTGGGCGGCGGCGGAGGGCGCGTGGGCAGGCGGGGACTCGAGGCTGGGGGCCCCGCGTGAGAACGGGGGCCCTGGGACTGTGGGGCTGGCTGACGCCTGCCAGCCTGAGGGGCGCAGGTGCAGGGGCCCGTCTCGGCCTGGGGCCCCCTTGGCGCAGAGGCGAGTGTGCCATCGCGGGAGCGTGCCAGTGGCATCGCCAGGAGCCCGAGTGACCTCTGCCCCCCCCGCCGCCTGTGCCCTTCAGCCCCGGGAGGAGGGCAGGTCCTTGCACACCCTGCTGCGGTGACAGCTGCCTCTGGCCTGGCCCGCCCCCGTCTGGAGCGCAGGAAGACGTGTCACCCTTGGCCGGCGAAGGAAGGAGTGGGAGGGCAGAGGGTCAGCGGGGTCCCCTCC